GCATGCTCAGGTGGAAAAGAGTGCATGTGAGGAGCATGCTCAGGTGCCAAAGAGTGCATGTGAGGAGCATGCTCAGGTGCCAAAGAGTGCATGTGAGGAGCATGCTCAGGTGCCAAAGACTGCATGTGAGGAGCATGCTCAGGTAGAAAGGAGTGTGTGCGAGGAGTGTTCAGATGCTGCCTAAGGTCAGTTACCAAGAGCTATAAACAGACACCTGTCAAGGCTGAAGTGTTTTTTAAATTTAGTGTGTTCTGAAGCTCAGTACAGCTGTCATGAACTGGATATGTACTTTTCAGACCTAAAGTTATTATAAGTTATTATAACCTTTGTTATAATACCACTAACAGTTGACCGTGGAATATTTAGTAGCGAGGAAATTTCACTAATGGACTTGTTGCACAGGTGGCATCCAATCACGGTACCACGCTTGAATTCACTGAGCTCCTGAGAGTGATCCATGTTGTAGAAGCAGTCTGCATGTGTAGGTGCTTGATGTTATACACCTGTGACTATGGAAGTGATTAGAACACCTGAATTCAATGATTTGGAGGTGTGTCCCAATAATTTTGGCAATATAGTGTATATCAACATTTGCATTTCATGCATTTCCCAGATGATTAATATGCAATTCTTTTGCAGAAATATAAAATGAATGCAGTTTGCTGAGGGAAAAGTAACAGTTTTGAGAGGACCAGTGGAATTTGACTGTTGTGCAATATTGACTGTTGTGCAAAAGCACATTTTTCTGTACTCTTTGGTGAGGAAAGATAGGCTGTGCCCTTACCAGTGCTGTGCACTTTATCCAGCTGCAAACTGCAGGTGCAAAGTTCTGCCTTGAGTTTTGAGTTTCTTTCTTTCAAAGACAAATTTTCTGAAAGGGAAGAATGGGTTTGTGTTGCAGTGACAGGACCAACTGAGCTTTCACAGCAAGTCTCACATATGCATCACTCCCCAGGACATAATCCGCCCAGAGCAGTACATCGCATACCTCTCCAGCAAACACTTTCATCCAAAGCAACTCACAGCTTTGTTTTTCGGTTTCTTATTTATACAGCTGGATGGTTTTTAACCAGAAAAATTCAAAATAAGGAATACAAGAGTAACACTACTGGGAAATGAACCAACAGCAACAACTTCTGAAGTTTTCAAAGATCTTTAGAAGAGCTCCAGGAGCTCCTGAAGTCCGCATGCATCTCACCAAGTCTCATTTCCTCCAGTTCTCCTTGCAGTCTGCTCTTGGCCTCGTCTCCCTTGGCCTGGACCTTCTGGAGCCTGACTTCAATATTCTCCAGGCTGGCCTGGTGCTCTTCACTCTGCTGGGCCAGTGACCTCTCCGTCTGCTCCAGCTGGACCCTCAGCTTCCCTCGTTCTCCTTCCAGAGTAGCTAGGCTCTCCTTCAGGGGCTGGATGGTATCCTGCAGCTGGGCTAGGTACTTCTCCAGTCGACCCAGGTCTCGGCTCTGCTGGGCAGCCCACTGAGCCATATCGGGCGCAGACAGCTGCCCATGCTCCAGGGAACTGGGCACTTCTTCCAGGAAGGAGCTCAGACAGGATGGCAGGCCCAGTCTCTGGCATATGCTGCTCAGGGTGTCACTCGTCACCCGCAGGCTATGCTGCACGTGAGCACAGGCATGGCAGGGCAGTGGAGACGACGCCACCGTCTGGCAGCCCACAGAGCACATGTCTCTGGAGGCAGATTCGGGGCAGCAGGTGTAGCCCCTCTGGCACACAGATGACTCTTGCCTTTGGACAAAGGTGCTCTTCAGCTCACGCTCACGCTTCAGCTGCTCACCAACACCCTCTACAGGTGATTCTTTCTCACACTTGTTAGTTTGCTCCTGGACACAAAAGCAAATCAAACAGCTTGATTCATCCCAGAACTTGATGCATTTCAAATGTCACCACAGGCCTGCAGTGAGTTGCACCAGCTAAGAGTAAGGTTGGGTGTAAAGTAGTGATGTAACGGAGAACCTGAAGCTCTAAAGCTTGATATCACAACTACAAAGCTGGGTTCCCCAAAGCGTGATTCAATGCTTGTATCGGGGGTGCCAAAGTCTTGTGATCAAATGATGTCCATAGTTTAGTTCTATACACACCCACGTAACTGTGTCATTTACACTGTCATTAACTGTGTTAAAACTGGTTCAAACCTGTATGTGGCGTTCCTGTGCACTTATGTTATTCTAATTGACAGTAATGGAACAATCTATTTCATATTTGGGAACATTTTGCTGTGCTATCTCCACCTAAGGCATGTCATAATATTATGATGCATCCGTCATAATTCTAAAGTCATCATTCCTCGCACATGACCTCATTTATATACACAGGTCCTCAGAAAGCTCCTTTGCCTTAGCCAGGACTGTCCACAAACCAACTGCAGAGAGCTGCTGTTTTTCACCTGTTGAGTTGATTAAAACAGCTGTTCCCAAAGAATCAGGGAAATTAGGATGCTTTAGAACAGCTTGGACTATTTGGAATGGTATAGAACTTTAGATTTTCCCATAGACTGTGACAGTTTGCAAAAGGTATGAATTAGAGCATGTGAGCGGAGCGGTGAGAATTTCCGCTCCTCGCTCACGAGGCTGTTGGCTCCGCCCGCTCCTCCGCTCTAATTCGCACTAAGTCGCTCCGCTCAACACCGCTTCTCGCTCCACTAAAATTTCCTCCCGCTCCAGTCAAATCGCTCCCTGCTCGCTCCAATTTAAAAGAGGGACAAATAATCTGCATGCCTAACAAATGTCACCTTAAACCGAAGCCTTATATCATAAAGAAATATGAGCAACGGCAACATTGCCACTCAGAACAGAAAATATTAATTTTTAAGCTACATATAGGCAAAAGTGATTTCAAAGTTAATCTTTACTAACTGAAACAGTTTCACCACATTATTGTTCTTGCTCTACATTATTGTCATCTATACGTTTGATAAGAATAGTACACTTGTATGATATCAGTTTCTTTTGTGAAATACTTTGCGAATTCCATTTCGTTCCAATTTCTGTAACAGTCCTGATAATTGTACAGATGAATTCTGGGTAGATTTGGGCACGCCTCAGAATCGTAGTGTGAGCGGTATCGGAGCGAAATTGGAGCGAGACAGAGCGACCGCTCTTGGCTTAATTAAAAAACCGCTTCACGCTCTGATCAAATTCCACCCACTCCGCTCCTCGCTCACGCTCCGCTCCGCCACCGGTGTGTGAATGTGTGGTGTGAATGGGTGAATGTGAGGCATACATTGTAAAGCGCTTTGGTAAAAAGCGCTATATAAATGCAGTCCATTTACCATTTACCATTCCGCTCACATGCTCTGGTATGAATATTTTTGGACACTTTTTGTTCAAATGTAAATAAAAGCTGAAAAATATTTTTTTTTCCACAATGATACTTCTTGTACATCGTCTTATTATCTTCTGGGAGATGCCTGTGTCATTTCCAATCAAGAAGAAACTTGAATAAAAGTAACTTAAAGTCAAAATTTGTCAGGGGTATGAATAATTCCGGGCTTGACTGTATATAAATGAGGTCCAGTGTCTGATCTGCTCTCAGCAATTGGTGTACAACAATAACCCCTCATTAATGCACAGGCATGAAGAAAAGGCACCAGCATCCCACCCCAACTACTACACTATATATTAAGGATTCCCCTTCTCCTTTAGTGGCTCAATTTTCCAATCTAGCAACAGAAGAGAGTCATCTCGTAGTGCAATCCTACCACCTGCCCACTGGATCCAATCAATCCCTTTCACCACGCTCCAGACACTCTCTGAAGACCTTCTCCCGTTAATCACTATCATTGATATCTCCATAACATCTGGTCATGTACCAATGATATTAAAAGCCAGGGTTCAAAGCAACACATGCCACAGAGACTGCCCTCTTGGCTGTCACTGAGAAAATGTGAGAGGCCAAACTGTCATCTGTCCTTATCCTCCTTGACCTTTCAGCAGCATTCAATACAGTCAACCACAAGACTCTCTTGTCTATCCTGATGAGTCATGGAATTGGATGCTCAGCATGGCGATGGCTTGCTTCCTACCTAGAAGGTTGGTCATAACAAATGATGTGGAAGGGATCCACATCTACTCCATGCAGACTCTTCGCTACCATCCCTCAGGGCTCAGTTCTTGGTCCTCTTCTGTTCTACCTCTATACTAGATCTTTTGGTGATGTCATATCCTCACGTGTTCTCATATCACTGCTATGCAGATGACACCCAACTTATCCTCTCCTTTCCTCCCTCAGACACTCAAGTCTCCACTCAGATCTCTGCATGTCTGGCAGACATCATGGATGACAGCTCATCAGCTGAAACTTAACCCCGGCAAAACTGAACTGCTATTCATCCCAGCTGATCCATCCCCACACCAGGATCTTGTGATCTCCTTGGATAACTCTCTGATTTGTCCTTTGGTTATCACTCGCAAACTTGGGGTAACCATGGACAATCACCTGTCCTTTTCCTCTCACATTGCTAATCCGCTTTCTCCACCTCAGTATCAGAAGGCCTCGTCCATTTCTTTCCACACTGGCCACTCAGGTATATATATTGCGTGCGTGCGCACGCACACACACACACACACGCACACACAGATATATATATATATATATATATGATGGGAGGATTGGAGTAATTTGGCTTTCACACACAATGCGACAATGGCACCTGTATGCTTTGTGCCACTGTCCTGTAATGACTGCACGCATGTACTTTATGTCGCTCTGTGCAGCTATTCTAGTTCTGTGTTGATTTATGTAGCACCATGGTTCCTGAAGAACGTTGTTTTGTTTCACTGTGTACTGTATTAACCGTGTATGGTTAAAATGACAATAAAAAGCCACTTGACTTGAATTCCATTGGATTGCGCCGTGCCACAGTAGTTTGTCGCTGCGTCGAGCAAAGGGGAAGCGCAGCAGCCGATGTTCTGCCTGGTAGACAGGTTACCCAAAAACTACCTGGGCCACTGCGCGCTGTCGAATACGCGCGGGGCCAAAAGAAATGAGGCATCCTGCTCTGAACCAAGCGGCCAGCGAAGTGCAAACTGTATTGTGTTGAAAGCCCCATAAAATCGGCTAATCATCAGGATGCAGGAATGCTACTTGCATTGACACGCGTACCTCCTTAAGATGCAGACAGCTCAGATGCAGCAGGTTCTGCCAGTAGCGTCTCACCACCAAGCCGATGGATACAGAAGGAGGGGTCGCTCGACTTTGTGAGCCTCTCCTTCGCACCCCCAATATCACCTCTGCATGGGCATTCAAACTCTGAAGCAGAAGCATCAGTCTAAAGCCAAGGTACAGAAACACAGAGAAATGTGCAGGGCAGAGTATGAACCTACATCTCTGTTCATGTGCGTTAATAACGACATCATATGACATAATAACAGCACAATAGCTGTCAGTCCATACCTGTCAATCATCAGCTCCAGCAGAACAACGTGCGAGTGCTGATTAAATTCTTCTTCCCCCTCCACAAAGTCGTATTGCTCCAAAAGTGATGCCAAGTCCAAATTGCAGGACATCTTATCTGGGAACTTCCATGAAGAAAATCGAACCGGACCGGTACAGGAAAGCACGTCCAAAACAGCTCCCTGAATATCCGTTAGATCTCTCCGTAGACTGTCCACACAGTCCTGGCGACCCAAAAGGTGGGTCATCACTCTTTCCTCTGATGGCAAAAGTGATTAATAGTGCTTCTATATTGGTAATAACCAACTTACAACAGATGTTTTTTGATTCGATTTTATGAGACCAGCAACACTGCGAAACATTCGTGATTTTGTTACTGTATTGCAAAGAGGCAAATCGCTTTTGTTGACAATTATCGTCATAGCAACTCTAGTCCGAGCTACGAAGGTGGAGCTAAATTTTAAAGCGGCAATACCCATGATTCTCTGCGCCCCGGAAGTGATCTGCTAAGATCACATACGACGTTCCTGTGTTACAGTGGCTCGGTTAGCAGATTAAGTGTAACTCTGTATTTTCATTGCGATTTAAAAGTCATTGACAAAATAGACGGTTCTTTTTTTAATAAGGTGCAACTTTAATAATTACCAGTAAGAGGGCTGTGATTTGCATTACAGGTAGGAAGGCGAAGGTCATTGTCTCGCAGCCATGCCGCCTGGGCCCGTTCAGATCGTACAGCCGGAACTTAACAACTCGGTAAGTGTAACTACTAGATAACGTTAATTTCTTTTCAGCTCGGTAGTTTGTTGCCGTTTTGTTTGCTTTGTATTTGTACAAAGCTAAATATTGTTGTGGTTGTTGGTTAATTTCACTGTCCTTTACGGTACCGTTTTACAGGCCTTTGTGCTCCCTTCTTCAGTACATTAACAAACCTATAAACAGTAATACTGTCAGATCGGTGCGCAAATAGCTTAACCTGCTGTTCAGTTTAAAAGCTGAGTTTTAAAAGCTGAGTTAAAAGCAGTTTATCAATCTGTTCCCAGTATCCATTTGGTTGTGCATAACATGTTTTATGGCAGATCGATTGTAAGCGCGTTTCTTTGAAATAGTGGGGTTTTAAGTCACGTGATGAATATAATCGTTGACCTTTTTTAGTGTAATGTTGATGGTGATATTTTACCACCAGCAACCAGAAGAGACGAAGGATGAAACTCCAGCAACAAAACCGATCGTGGGAATCATTTATCCGCCCCCCGAAGTCCGAAACATTGTCGACAAGACAGCCAGCTTCGTAGCCAGGTTTGCCTTCCGTTTGCAAACGGAATCTCAGGTTGCAATCTTTTATTTAAGATTTTATTTAATCTTTGTCACACTCAAGGACGCTTTACAGTCAAACAATAATGCAGTGAAGCAATGCACACACAGAAACAGCAGCAAAAAAGCGACAATAATGTTACATACTGGTAGATGTAGCATTTCTAAAATATTTGAGTTTTCAGCTGGAGCTTGAAGACAGACTTTACCTCTTGCAAACTGTGAAGAAGTGGAGGTGGGTGAGGGTTAGCAGCCGTGTAAGTGTCCAGAACATATGGAGTTATACAGAGAAAGCATCTGCATGGGCCATGACAACTCCAGAGCATCATGGAGGCGAGAGGCACGAAGAGTCAGGAGGATGATATGAGAGGATCAGTAGATATTTCCAATAGCTAATCAAAGGTTATTTTTTACTTGTTCTGGGCAGAGAGTAAGTAAAGCAGAATTCAATTAGTTTGTGGAACTAGAGAAACCGATAAGATCCAGTGGTGTATAACCCTTAGTATGGGTTGGAAAATCATGCTGTACAAAACTGAAACGTTCCAACATCGAGCACAGCTCACAAGCAGGTGGACAGTCAGTTTCCATATGAATATTGAAGTCACCAAGTAACATAATTGCAGAAGACATGCCACAAACAAGAGCAAGCAGTTCATTGAGGTCAGAGAAAAAATTAGGATGGATCTTGAGTGGTAAATAAATTAGTTTAATATGCAGGGAAGTATGGCCAGTGATTTTAAAAATCAAATATTCAAGTGATGAGATATGTTGTAAATCAATAACACTTGGTTTCATTCTGTCACAAGGGGCCACCACCAAAGCACCACCCTGCCTGTTAAACAGGGCTTAGACAGAAAGCCAGGGGGTGAGCAGGTTCAGTAGTAAGAAGTTGTTTGGTTTTTGCTGAATTTCTCTGTGCAGTAGCATGTCCATATTTTTCGTGGTAGACAGGTCATTCAGGAAATTTGCTTTACTCTTCGAAGATTGACAGTTTAAAAGCGCACATTGAAGATTTAAATCAGCTTTTTTGTCTTGGTTATTCCGCTCTGTTATGATCAGCAGGTATCTCAACAAGCTCCTTGATCTAGTCCACTTTCTTGATGAGCTTTTAGATGAGTCAGGTCTTACAGATCAAATTGTAGGAATTACGATGAAGTATACTTTATACAAAAATTACAACGTGGGGAGTGGTGAATATATCGCGGGTGACGAGCAGTACCAAGCTCTGTACACAAAGTGAATGTCGTTTCTGAGCCGGGAGTGAGAGCACCAGGCACGAAGTTGCAAAGAGGAGTAGGTGATCATCCTAGGAGGCGGCACCACTAACCGCCACGTTAGCCAGAACCCACAAGTTACACCCAACTGAACAGTCAACATAGTAAAAGTTAACGGTTGATAAATAATTTATCTCATCTCTTTTAAAACTATATGTAAGATGCCCTCAGGGCACTGTTATTTATTTATTTTAAGCTTAGTTAGGCTTTGTAGCACATCAGCTTCAGTTATACATATACTGGTCAATGATGAAGCTGGATTAGGAATGAGTCGGTTTGTTACTCCTGTCTTCTACAGTGAATATGCGTGCAAAACAATCATTAAACTCATTAACTATATCAATTTCATTTTCAATTATAAGACAATTCTGCAGATTAGTGATTTCAGCTTTTAGAGCTCTTTTGGAGTTAAAATATTGGAAGAAACTTTTAGTGTTATCCTTAGCCTCTAATGCAGCCTTCTTTTTGACATTCCTCTTAGTAAGTCTACATTTTTTTAATCTAAAATAATATTTACCCCCCCCCCCCCCCAAAAAAAAAAAAAAAAAAAAAAAAAAAACAGGGACGATATGTGTCCCGGGGAAAAAATATTCGTTTTCCGGACCCCCCGTCTTTTCCCACCTCAGGAATGGACCAGAGTTCGAGGCCAGGATTCGGCAGAACGAGATCAACAACCCAAAGTTCAATTTCCTGAACCCCAGTGACCCCTACCATGCCTACTACCGGCACAAGGTCAACGAGTTCAAGGAGGGCAAAGCCCAGGAGCCGTCGGCCGCCGTGCCCAAGGTCATGCAGCAGCAGGCCATGCAGCAGGCCCCGCAGCAGCAGCTGCCGCAGAAGGTGGGCTTCAGCTCCTTTTATCTCCGGCTGTTATGCGTATTGAATGAAATCTCTTGGGTAGCGTGGAGTGGTGAGCATGTACCAATTATTTGGATGGTCTTGGGGGCGGGGGGGAGCTGGGAGCTACTGGAATCACGGTTAAGTGAACAGGCCTGCATTGTCGCCCCTGCTTGTCACTGAGCAGGTCCAGGCTCAGGTGATTCACGAGACTGTGGTGCCCAAAGAGCCCCCGCCTGAATTTGAGTTCATCGCAGACCCCCCCTCCATTTCTGCCTTCGACCTCGACGTGGTGAAGCTGACGGCCCAGTTTGTGGCCCGCAATGGCCGCCAGTTCCTCACGCAGCTCATGCAGAAGGAGCAGCGCAACTACCAGTTTGACTTCCTGCGGCCCCAGCACAGCCTGTTCACCTACTTCACCAAGCTGGTGGAGCAGTATACCAAGGTACGAGGGGGGGCCAGTGCCGAAGCATGTGTGACACAGGCCCATCGAGGCTGGCAGTCATATCCACTGTGCTCTTGTCTGGCTCTCCAGGTGAAACACTGTTGCTTTCTGTGCTTTTCAGATCCTCATCCCACCCAAGGGGCTCCTGCAGAAGCTGAAAAAGGAGGCCGAAAACCCCAGGGAGGTGCTGGACCAGGTGGGCCCCTGAGCTATGCAGGCGCAGTGCTGATGCTGATACTTGCGGTGACACCGGCTTGCCGCGCCCTCTCTCCAGGTCCGCTATCGCGTGGAGTGGGCCAAGTTCCAAGAGCGTGAGAGGAAGAAAGAGGAGGAGGAGCGAGAGAAGGAGCGCGTGGCCTATGCCCAGATCGACTGGCATGACTTTGTGGTGGTGGAGACCGTGGACTTCCAGCCCAACGAGCAAGGTACTACCTCCAAGTCTGGCCACCAAGTGCAAGAGACGGGCAAAAACCTGCACGTGATGGTCCCTCTGTAGAGTAGGTACATGCACATGTAAAGCACAGGGACAGCTGCTGGACAGCTGCAGATTCTACAGGACATGTTAACGTTCGATTCAGCCTCGCCATGCAGAAAGGCTCATTGAGTAGAAATCACAATAGGGTTCTACTTGTTAGAAGCATATAGCTGTAGACCTTTAAACATAAATACCAAGCCTGATTCTTTCCTTTGATTTAAAGGTTCCTGTTTCTTTCAGGTCATTATGCTTGGATGACATCTAATTTTTCATTCCATACCGACATTATACTGCTCTATATGGTATTTTAACTGTGTTTTCAAAAGCAAAGCTAATTTGATATTTTGAAATCTTGGAAATAAAATTTCCACATTTCACTAAACGATCCACGCTCCTGCTCAGTTAATTTCGTCATCAAGCCTACTCTTAGGTGACCTGCCATGTCAGTCATTACTTTAGCCCCCTCCCTTTTTGCTTTCATAGGTGACCTAGCATGTCAGTCATTACTTTAGCCCCCTCCCTTTCTGCTTTCATAGGTGACCTGGCATGTCAGTCATTACTTTAGCCCCCGCCCCTTTTGCTTTCATAGGTGACCTGGCATGTCAGTCATTACTTTAGCCCCCTCCCTTTCTGCTTTCATAGGTGGCCTGGCATGTCAGTCATTACTTTAGCCCCTCCCTTTCTGCTTTCATAGGTGACCTGTCATGTCAGTCATTCCTTTAGCCCCGCCCTTTTTGCTTTCATAGGTGACCTGGCATGTCAGTCATTACTTTTGCCTCTCCCTTTCTCCCCCAGGACATTTCCCCCCTCCCACCACCCCAGAGGAACTTGGCGCTCGGATCCTGATTCAGGAGCGCTACGAAAAATTTGGGGAGAGTGAAGAAGTGGAGATGGAGGTGGAGAGTGAGGATGAGGAAGATGACCGGGTGGACAGGGAGGATGGACATCCAACCCAGCCGGACCAGGACACACAGCTACAAGACATGGATGAGGTGAGTGGATGTTCTAATGTCTCCAAAAGCCGCCACGCTAAGGATGGTTTACATGCATGTGCCATGATGCTGACCATGCTACGGATAGTTCACATGCGTGTGCCATGATGCTGACCATACTATGGATGGTTTACATGCGTGTGCCATGATGCTGACCATACTATGGATGGTTTACATGCGTGTGCTATGATGCTGACTCACAGGGCTCTGATGACGATGATGACACCATGAAGGCACCGTTGCCCCCTGATAACCCCATGCCCCCACCCCTGCCCCCCACACCCGATCAGGTCATCATCCGCAAGGACTACGACCCCAAGGGTAAGACTGGGTCCGGGCCACCAAAGTCAGTTAGCGGCAAAACAAGCAGCTGTGATGAATGAATGCCGGTGCTGTCATCTCTGCTGGGGGTGAAAGTCCCAGTATGATCCCTTACTGGGGCAGCTTAGCTGCAGCACTGGCCCTTTGCGGGATCATGTTTTTACCATTTGTACTGTACGCAGCCTCCAAGCCCCACCCCCCGACGGTAGCCTCAGAGGAGTACCTGATCTCCCCCATTACGGGGGAGAAGATCCCTGCCAGCAAGATGCAGGAGCACATGCGCATTGGCTTGCTGGACCCACGCTGGCTGGAGCAGCGTGACCTGAAGATCCGCGAGCGGCAGATCGAGGACGAGGTGTACGCCCCGGGGCCTGACATCGAGAGCAGCCTGAAGCAGCTGGCCGAGCGGCGTACCGACATCTTCGGTGTGGAGGAGACCGCCATCGGCAAGAAGATCGGGGAGGAGGAGATCCAGAAGCCAGAGGAGAAGGTACTGCACCCCGACCCTAGGCAGCACCAATATGCACTTCTGACCCCGACCCTAGGCAGCACCAGCACACACTCTGACCCTGAGCTTGTGACCTCCTAGGTGACGTGGGACGGCCACTCGGGCAGTATGGCACGCACACAGCAGGCCGCGCAGGCCAACATCACGCTGCAGGAGCAGATCGAGGCCATCCACAAAGCCAAGGGCCTGGTGCAAGAGGACGACACCAAGGAGAAGATTGGGCCCAGCAAGCCCAACGAGGCCCTGCCTCCACCCCCACCAGCAATAGCCTCTACGATGCCCAGCCTTCCCAAGCCCTCGCCACCGGTGACCTCGGTGCCCCGCGCCCCTCCCTCTGTGAGCTTATGGACTTGTCTCTCTGTGTCCCACACCCTACAGCAACTCACTGGCACAACATGCGGCAACGTGCAACACACAGACAATGCTTTTAGTGAAGATGTTTCACTAGTGTCAGAAACACAAGCAATCTGTCAACATCTAGTATAAGTCCATCACATGCATGTGGAGAAGTGCACAGTTTTCACTGCCCAGCTCAGTTTATCTGTCCTGGCCCCAGATGTGTGATCCATGCTAGCGCCCTGCAGCCCACACACAGAGTGAAGTAAAATTTATGAATATGGATTAATGATTGAAAGTAACCATAAGCCAGCTGATCGTTACGGGTTCATTCATTAATTCAATCTGAAAGGGTCAGAGCATCATCTCAAATTCACAATTTGTTTCAGATCACAGATTTAGACAAGCTGAGATTACTACACAGTAATATGACTG